ACATGGATTTCGAGCGGGAAGATCGTGCCTCTCACAGCTACTTGAGCACTACGACAAAGTCACTGAGGCATTAGAAGAAAAACAGAATGCTGATGTGATATACACGGACTTCGCAAAGGCTTTCGATAAATGTGACCATGGCGTGATAGCACACAAAATGAAGTCAATGGGAATAACCGGTAAAGTAGGACGCTGGATACTCAGTTTTCTGTCAAACAGGACTCAGCGAGTAACGGTCAACCATATAAAATCTAGTCCAAGTGCAGTTAAAAGCTCTGTACCTCAGGGTACAGTCCTTGCACCGCTGCTTTTCCTTATTCTCATATCAGATATAGACAAAAATACAAGTCACAGCTTCGTATCATCCTTTGCAGATGACACAAAAATCAGTATGAAAATTACCTCGGCTGAAGACATTGAAAAACTTCAAGCTGATATTAATAAAGTTTTCGACTGGGCATCAGAAAATAACATGATGTTTAACAGTGATAAATTCCAGGTACTCAGGTACGGTAAAAATGAGGACCTTAAACATAATACAGAGTACAAAACACAATCAAATGTACCCATAGTAGGAAAACAGCATGTAAAGGATTTGGGAATAATAATGTCTGACGACCTAACGTTTAAGGAGCATAACCAAGCAAATATTGCGACAGCCAGAAAAATGATAGGATGGATTACGAGAACTTTCAAATCCAGGGATCCCATCACAATGGTTGTACTCTTCAAGTCACTTGTGTTGTCCCGTCTTGAGTACTGCTCAGTACTCACTTCCCCCTTCAGAGCAGGAGAGATTGCTGAAATAGAGGGAATACAGAGAACATATACGGCACGCATAGACGCAATAAAGCACCTAAATTATTGGGATCGTCTCAAAGCCCTCCAAATGTACTCACTAGAAAGAAGACGAGAGAGATATCAAATAATATACACCTGGAAGATACTGGAGGGCCAAGTACCAAATCTACACAGTAAAATAACAACGTACTGGAGTGAACGATATGGAAGAAAATGCAGAATAGAACCAGTGAAGAGCAGAGGTGCCATAGGCACAATCAGAGAACACTGTATAAACATCAGAGGTCCGCGGTTGTTCAACGTCCTCCCAGCAAGCATAAGAAATATTGCCGGAACAACCGTGGACATCTTCAAGAGGAAACTAGATTTATTCCTCCAAGGAGTGCCGGACCAACCGGGCTGTGGTGGGTATGTGGGCCTGCGGGCCGCTCCAAGCAACAGCCTAGTGGACCAAACTCTCACAAGTCAAGCCTGGCCTCGGGCCGGGCTTGGGGAGTAGAAGAACTCCCAGAACCCCATCAAACCAGCCCAAATCGTACACAGAGGGGGGAAAGAAAACACTCCTCGCACAGTAAGCCCCGCTCAGAAGGCGACGAGCGCGTTGCAACATCCTACCCTGCAACGCGCGAGCTGCCTGCACCCACGGGAATTCATCAGCAGACTGGGCGAATGGAGTCACGAACAAGCAACAAAGCTCACAGGACTCAGGGTCGAATGTGTCACCGACCCAACAGGCAGCATGATGGAGGCAAAAACAAGGAGAGTCACCCTGAGGCAAAAGGACAGAGCAACCCTCAACTCGCACAAAGCGAGAGGGGACGCAAGGGTTTCCACCCTTGCGTCCCAAGACTTCCACCCTTCGGACCCGAGAGCCCCCGGGAGGTTTCCCAGGGCCCCTAGACTGGGTCTGCTAAGGGTTATCCCAGGCAGGGCACTGCTAACCGCTGCCCCAAACTACCAAGCAAACTGCTAAAGCTGAACCCACGGGATGTGTCCACTCGCGAGGGCGAAGCAGGGGGCGCCACCACACAAACGTACCTAATATAAGGGGGGGGGGGACACAAGGCAGACCCCCCTACCAGGCAAAAACAAATATAAAAGAAAAACCACACAAGTGGACAACATACCCAGAGGGAACAGAGCCGGCCGCTGTCATAGGTGAAAACTAGCTACGCAGTACCCTGCGCCCCACCAGTGCTATAACTACCACTTACCCCAAGGTAAATAAGGGAGTGAAACCCCCAAACCCTCGGGGCGGCCAAACGCCAAGCAGCGAAAAGCCAACAGAGGTAGACCCAAGGTGACTTGTGGAAGGCAACCCCAAGCCCCAAGGGCGGTACTTACAGGGCACTCAGGGAAGGTGACCCTAAGCACATGCAGCCCGAGTACCCGAGAATACTATTCCCAGCTCACACGACCACCGTAAGAGCAGCACTGCAAACAAGTCACAGCACTGAGACAAGACTGGAGCTGGAGCCACACGACCGTGCATTATCCCATGAGCCGAGGAACTGGGGCAAGGATTGCCGGCGCGGGAGTCTGGGGCTCCCCCTTCCCCCTCCCGGGGAGGGGGGAGCTGCGCAGACATGCGGCGCGGCTCGTGTGACGTCATGCTTGTTAGTTCGTTTTCCTGGGGGAGTTCTGTCCACTCGTTTGTCGATCTTTGTTGTTAACCAGAATAGGGGTTTGTTTTGTGGCGCTTACCTTTCTGGGTGCCTGTCCCGGTCGATGGCAGATATAGAATGCTCCAAATCACATGTGCATTTCTATGGGCCATTGCTCCCCGTGCCTCTCTGAGGGGGCCAGGTTCTGGCTCGTGGTCCCCGGTAGGCCTAGAACTCCACTCACATCGACTGATGCAAAATAGTTAGGGTATCCATATCAGCCATGGATAGCTCCGGGGAGCCGTAGGGGCTCCCCCCAGAAAAGGCTCTTGACAGAGTTCCACATAAGAGGTTGTTCTGGAAACTGGAACATATTGGAGGGGTGACAAGTAAGCTTCTAGCATGGATGAAAAATTTCCTAACTGATAGAAAAATGAGGGTCGTAATCAGAGGCAATGTATCGGATTGGAGGAATGCCACAAGTGGAGTACCACAGGGTTCAGTTCTTGCACCGGTAATGTTCATTGTCTACATAAACAATCTACCAGATGGAATACAGAACTATATGAACATGTTTGCTGATGATGCTAAGATAATAGGGAAGATAAGACACCTAGAAGAGTGTCATGCCCTTCAAGAAGACCTGGACAAAATAAGTATATGGAGCAACACTTGGCAAATGGAATTTAATGTGAATAAATGCCATGTTATGGAATGTGCCAAAACCGTCAGTAGCTTCAAAGCGTTATATGACAAAGAGTGCTGGGTAGATGGGACGCCACGAGCGTAGCTCTCATTCTGTAACTATGTTACGACCCTGGGTTCCTCAGTGGAAACCAGAGGTCAAAACTGAGCTAATAAACTGCCTTTTAGTATTGAAAACGCATCACGAGGTGCACTTGTTTGTATCTTCCCTGCCAGACGTAAGACTATTCTTGTTTTTCAAAGAGCATTTAAGACTGAGCTTGGGGTTGATTATTAAATAATAACATAGGCACCAACTATGTTTACTAATACTTTCTAATCATTTGTAAAGTAAACCTGAGTAAACTTGGTATAGGGCTGCGGTACGATTAGTTGAGCAGTCTGCCGGCAGCGAGCCAGCTGGGGGGAAGGAGACTGAGACTGGGCCCTTTCTCTGAGCTGGCGTGGTGTGGACAGGATCCTCCTACCCTTCCTCCTCGTTTCCTTATTTCTGTGTCTTGTTCAAGCTAAGTATATACTGTGTACATTATTCAATTTCTGGCATACACATGTTCTATGTGTAGAGTAGTATACCTTGTGTGTAGTAGGTGTTTTTAGAGTTTATATTACTATTTATTCTAAAGGGGGTCCCAGTGGAACCACGTGGTCTCCCTACCCTAAGCTGACTCTAGCTTCAAGTGTTTCCATAGTAGAACTTTACCCTAGCTTGTGTTCAGTGTAAAACCTTGTATCCTGCTTAAGTGGACCAAGACTTTTAACGTAAGATAGTGTGGTAAAGTAATTATTATTTTTGTTATTGGTGTGAGTGTATATGGGGGGTTGTTAAGGGGTTAATAAATAAGTAAGTAGTAATGGAGTATCCCTTCTTCCTGTGTGGGAGTGCTATGATCAACCTCTAGTTGGACATGGTCTAGTAGCAAGTTATTATTACTGTGGATAATTTATTTTTGGGGCCGGGCCTTTTAGTTCTCCCATATTTGATAACTTTGAATGCTACCTACTGCCCCTACACCCATGTTATAATAGATCCCCCATAGTACAGACACTCCCTTATATAACAAACTACACTTAGATAATTACTGAAAACAATTAACAGTACTAAGAGAAGACTGGAGCTGGAGCCACATGATCATGCACGATCCCATCAGCCGAGGAACTGGAGTGAGGATTGCCGGCGCAGGGGTCTGGGGCTCTCCTTTTCCCATACTGGGGAGGGAGGAGCTGCGCAGACATGCGGCGCGGCTCATGTGACATCATGCTTGTTTGCTCGTTTTTCTTTTGGGGAGCTCTGTCCACTCGTTTGACGCTTTTCGTTGTTAACCAGAATAGGGGGTTTGTTTTGTGGCGCTTACCTTTCTGGGTGCCTGTCCTAGTCGATGGCAGATATAGAATGCTCCAAATCACATGTGCATTTCTATGGGCCATTGCTCCTTGTGCCTTTGTGATGGGGCCAGGTTCTGGCTCATGGTCCATGGTAGGCCTAGAACTCCACCCACATTGACTGATGCAAAATAGTTAGGGTATATGTATCAGCCATGGATAGCTGCGGGGAGCCGTAGGGGCTCCCCCTAGAAAAATGGGGCACCTTGAATCATCTCCAGTTGATTAGAGCACCTGGACCAATTGCTTGGAGATAATTGGAGTTTAAATACAGTAGAGTAAAAGAAAAATGGCTATCCTTACAAGGAAATACTTTACACAAGATGCTATAAATACTGGAAGCCTTACCAAGAGATACAATAAGTCCAAACTTCACACTACTGTATTTGTAATTTGAATACAATAATTCAAATGATTAGTCACCCTATTTGAACAAAAACATGTATTATTCTCTTCAGTGCATTAATTTGAGATGGAGGTGGTAGGCTAACAGGAAAAAATATTACTTACACTCATTATCTTGGTGAAGACTGGAAGATCCAATAGGCATTCAAAATGCTGGTTCCATAAACTGTCTGGAAGATAAACATAAAAGGTGAGGAACAAGGTTTTACACATGAATCCTATCAGGATAAAGTATGCAGTATTCTTACTTCATAGGCTTTTGTATACAAGTTATATTTAATACTTGCTTCATAAATAAAATAACAGTATACGGGTGAACCTCATTTAATGTTGGGGTTAGATTCCTAAAAACTGTGATTTTAACTAAAAAGACGTTAGTGAAACTAAAAACCTCATAGACCTTATGAGGTTTTTCAGGGTGTTCATCAGTAAGGGTTACATTCCTAGGGTACTGGGAAAGATGATGTTTGGCCATTTTTTGCTCACCCACCCTTGTCATACCTACCTAGCACTTTTAGCTCAGTTTCTAAGAATACTGTCTTCCTTTCTTTGGCCTTTCATTTGGATTACTACCTGGTACAGGCTGTTTGTCTATCATGCATTTTTTGGCCAAGTAAATTTCTTGGGGAACTCCTTGTGGGCCCCCTGATGCTACCTCACTGAGAAGGCTCCCAACTACTAGATCACATCAGTCGTGGAGTTCAGTTTGGTTTACCGAGGGACCAGCGAAGTTTCTGACTCTGGTCCCCAGTAAGAGCCAGAGCCACAGGGAGCAGGTGACACTCCACCACCTCACAGAGAAAGACATCCAGAAAATTAGCAAACCAATAAGATTAGCAAACCAATAAAAAACCTCATAAGATGCAATAAAGCACCTAAATTATTGGGATCGTCTCAAAGCCCTCCAAATGTACTCACTAGAAAGAAGACGAGAGAGATATCAAATAATATACACCTGGAAGATACTGGAGGGCCAAGTACCAAATCTACACAGTAAAATAACAACGTACTGGAGTGAACGACATGGAAGAAAATGTAGAATAGAACCAATGAAGAGCAGAGGTGCCATAGGCACAATCAGAGAACACTGTATAAACATCAGAGGTCCGCGGTTGTTCAACGTCCTCCCAGCAAGCATAAGAAATATTGCCGGAACAACCGTGGACATTTTCAAGAGGAAACTAGATTTATTCCTCCAAGGAGTGTCGGACCAACCGGGCTGTGGTGGGTATGTGGGCCTGCGGGCCGCTCCAAGCAACAGCCTGGTGGACCAAACTCTCACAAGTCGAGCCTGGCCTCGGGCCGGGCTTGGGGAGTAGAAGAACTCCCAGAACCCCATCAACCAGATATCAACCAGGTAATACAGAACATGGCTGGGTTTAAAAAGAGACTGAAGCCTCACTACCCATCGAATGAATTCCCCAACAATGTAAACAAACTACAAAATCTCTCAAAACAAGTGTACACTTATTTGCCCCACCCCTCCCACTTGTTTGGGGGGAACTACAGGGCCAGGGATCACACTTTCCAGTGGCTAGAACAATCAGTCCTTTTGCTGATGCAGTGTGGGCTGCTGTATGGTTCCTGGGTATGACCATGTCTCTTTGGTGGATGTCCCATCTCTTCCTGTGTTTGGAGCCACCATCCAAAGAAGGGGTGTCCCCGAAACAAAACTTGGCAGAGCTTCGATTCATCCTCCATCTGTCGGGACTAAAACAGATCATTACTTACCCGATGTTCTAGATGACCACTTTGGCTCAGGTTCACATCATATTGGAGGAGGGTGCCTGGATAATTTCCTTGGACCTCTGGGATATGTACTGGCATGTCTCTATTCATCTGAGATTCAGTGATTGGTTAGATTTACAGTAATTGTAGGACATCATGCCTACTTCTTTCAGGTTCTTTACTTTGGTTTTAATCTCACTCCCAGAGTTTCTGAGGGGAGCCCAGTCAACTCCATGAAGCTATCCCATTTATAAAGTGCTATCCTATTTGGGGTCATCAGTCACAGTTCTTGTTGCCTACCGGGAACCAACGTGAGAACATGGCCCCCTTCAGAGAGGTGCAGGGAGCAATGGCTTATGAACACTTTACATTATAATTATATCATACTTACCATCGACCAGGGAAGGCACTCAGAAAATTAGGTGAAACAAAACAAACCACAGTCTGGTTGAAAAATGTGACCTACATCCTCAAAATAGCAAAATAACTTCCCAGAATGCAAACAAGCCCACTTTGTCCAACTAGCCCCCCTGTGGGGGAAGGGGGAGCTGGCTCGGATGAGTCAGGCTACCCACCCTTCAGTTCTTGACCGATGTGCAGGCAGTCGGATGTCACCTCAGGCTACAATTTCCTATTCAGGAATTTTGCCTTAAACGGCTGTTCCACACTTTTGTGGTATGCGTTGGCTTGGAGTTCCTGGGTACCGGAGCTGCATGCGTCTAGGGCCACCTTCCCTAGGTGCTCCGTGAATACTCCCCTTGTGTGGTCAGGGTTCTCTGCCCTGGGGAGTTCGAGAAATACTTCCCATTAGAGGACGTCCTTGCTTAAGGTTGTCCTCGCCCTTGTGATCTGTTGGGGGTCTTAGACTTTCTGCCTTGCCCTAGGTAGGGGGTGTTTAACGGCTGGTGGGGGCGCACTGCAGCTGGCACAGCCTGCTTAACCCTTAACCACTGAACTGCTCTGCATTAAAATACGATAAACCGGTGATGTGCCGAAAATAAATTCTTTCCAAAATTTTATTTTCTCTTCTTATATTGTTAAAATGCAGTCACTGATCACTAGAAACTAAAAAAAAACAGCGTTGAATGTAATGAAACGCCATTTTCTGGGTGAGTCCCGGAGGCTCCCCGGAGCTATCCCAGGCTGATATGCTAATGTCAGACTTTGGCATCAGTCATATGTATGGAGTTCTTAGGCCTACCGGGGACCACGGCCAGAACCGGGCCCCCTCAGAGAGGCAAGGGGAGCAATGGCCTATAGAAGCCCCCGTGTGGTTGGAAGCATTCTATGTCTGCCATCGACCGGAACAGGCACCCAGAAAGGTAAGCGCCTCAAAACAAACCCCTATTCTGGTTAAAATTGCTACCAAAAACCGAACTAGTGGATAGAACTCCCCAACCGAAAACAAGCAAACTAGTGTGACGTCACCGCCGCGCCGCTGTCTGCGCAGCTCCCCCCTCCCCAGGAGGGGGAAGGGGGAGCCCCAGACCCCCCGCGCCGGCTACCCACACCTCAGTTCTTGAGGCTGGATGTCAAAAACGCGAAAAACCGCCGACCGGAGGGAGGGAGGGATGCCGGAGAGCCTCCGGGACTCACCCAGAAAATGGCGTTTCATTACATTCAACGCTGGTTTTCTGGGGGGAGCCCCGTCGGCTCCCCAGAGCTAACTACCCACAGACAGAAAAAAGAGGGACTTACCCGGGAGGCGGTCGTCGCTCACTCCAACTCGAAGCCGAGACAACTGGCTGCAACCGCCGACCCAAAGCAACACAGGCCCGACGGGGCCCAGGGACATTCACAAGGTAACGAGCAGCCAGGACCCTGTTCGACCGCCAAAATCCCCTCGCCCGAATATCAGACCAAGACATATTCCCAGAGACGGCAGCAAAAGCCGCGAACTTACGAACGTCATGGGCACGGGGATAGACCGCAGGCTGGCTGGACTTAATAACCCTGCGGACGACATGAGAGACCCGAACCCGCGAACAGGGAAGAAGGGAAACCGGATCAACCCACAGCGCGTCCCAGGACACAGAAGCTGTGGCGCGCAAATAACGGCGAAGCGCCGCAACCGGACACAAAACATGATGCACCCCCAGCCTGACCAACCAAGCATCAACCACCCATGGACCCCTCCGGAACGCAGCAGTCTCATTCTTCGCCAGAAAAGAAGGAGACGGCTGCAAACGAACAAAACAATCACCACGACCAAAAGAGCAGAAACCCCTGCGCCGGAGGAGAGCATGAAGCTCCCCTACCCGACCCCCAGAGGCCAAAGCCAACAAGAAAAGTGCCTTGGAAAAACAATCCTGGACCGAAGGGGCCACAACGAAACGAGGAGATGAAAGGAAAGCGAGCACTCTGTCCAAAGACCAGGACGGCTCAGGCGACGCATGAGCAGGCCGGAGGTGAAACAATGCACGAGACAGCTTGCGAAACGGCGCAGACGTAACATCGATACCGAAAGCAAGCTGAAGCGGCTCCGCCAGCGCCGCACGATACGAAGCGACAGTGTTAGGCATAAGATGACGGTCCTGAAACAACCACGAGAGGAAGGACAAGACCACCCGAACAGACAAGGAACTAACACGACGAAGACGCAAAAAAAAACGGAAGGACCGCCAGGAAACTTCATACTGCCGCCGAGAAGAAGCCCTCAGGTGGGACACCAACAAGGAGGCCACCTGAACACCATAGAGATGATGATAGACTCGAGTCAAAAAAACCATACGCGAAGACTCGAGGAGAAGATCGACGCGAAGACTCGAGGAGAAGATCGAACCAGCCACGTGACGTACCGGCCCGATCTGCTGAAAGAGGCGGAGCCGCGGGAAAACCCTCGGGTTCGGACACCGAGCAACCAGCGCCTGAAACCAAGGCTGGGCCGGCCACCAAGGGGCCAGAAGGACAACTCTCCCCTGGTAAGTCTCTAAGCGAGTCAGGACCTGGAGCAACAGCCGAACCGGGGGAAAGAGGTACAGGAACCCCCACCTCGACCAGTCTAGCCGAAAGGCATCGACCCCGATGGCCTCGCGATCGGGAAAGGGCGCCGCATAAACGGGAAGACGCCGCGACCACGCCGACGCGAAGAGGTCCACTTCGGTGCGCCCGAATGTCTGGCAAAGCCAACGGAAGGACTCGTCGTCGACCGTCCACTCCGTGGAGAGGGGAACGAAGCGAGACAGGGCGTCGGCCAAGACGTTGGACACGCCCTGTACGTGAACCGCCAGGAGAGCCAAACCCCGAGAACTCAGCAGACGAGTCACCCGAACCGACCAACCCCAAAGAGACAAGGACCGCATCAAACCCCCGCAGTTCAGGCAATGAACCACCATTGAGCAGTCCGAATGGAGCCGAATCGTCGATCCGCGGGCCACCCGAATCCTCCCCAGAGCAAACCACACTACCGCAAACTCCCGCACCGTGCTGTGAGCTCGACGGA